ATATATATATATATAAATATAAATATCCCAGTATCAACAAAGCCACACATACTGCCAGAGGCAACGAGGGGACGTTGGTGCCGCGGACACCAGCGAGGCGAAGCTTTTCTTCTTCTTTTTCTACGCTTGCATCTGGAACAGGTAAAGTGAAAAACCATGAGGAGCATGTGTGGACTGCGTGGAGGGCTTTCATGTGCGTTTCATGTGTGTTTCTCGTGATGGCTGGACTCGCATTGCGTAGGCAACTTTGAAATATGTCAAGCGCTCTGGCATTCCTGCGGTTCCGAATTTACCGACACTGAAGCCCGTGTCTAAGAATGTGTGTGTGTGTGTCTCTCTCTCTTTCTCTCTATGTGTGCGTGTGCGCGCGCGTGCATTGGTGGTGAACGAGGGGGGGATTTGCTGAATGGCTATTCCCAGGCAGCTTGTCTTGACTGTCTTATCTCCATCCTCATGAGTCCATTGATAAATGCGGGCGCAGATACAGTACGTACACCCAGATTTACATTATCAGTCCGGTGGATGCATGCCTGACAGACACCGTGCTCCATTCCGTGGAAGTAATTTCTGTTCAGATTTTGATGCATGCCTGCTCAGGATTTGGTAATATTTCTGAGGTGGGGCCGCATTTTGCTCACATTTAGGTCGGTCATTTGGTCTTACTGTAGTTTTCGTCCCGGGACGCTCTGTAGTGCCAGAGCTTTCATACCCCTCTGCAGCCCCGTGTTCAGCACCTTGGACAGCGGCTCCACACAAGCCGGGTTGCCCGGAGAGAAAAATCCTGCACTCCGAACTCTTTCCCCCTTCTCTGTGTGGATGATGTTTTGAAATCGTTATTTCAGCTGTAGATGTCTTACTTTAGTCTCAAGCGGGATTAACTTTACACTCATATGATGCCGAAACAGTATTCTCCACAATTTCTGTTTTCCCCCTCTAAACACGCAGAGCACCTTCACCACTGCACTGTAGAAAATCCCACCATAGAAGAAATTGACCATGTGCAGGTGCAGGTGACTAATTAAAGGGGCATTCCTGGGATTTGGTATTATGTTACCTTAAAGTTGGGAGAACATGAGATTGGGTGAAAAAAAATTGTCTGTTGGCTTCCTCCCTTCAGGGGTCGCCATAATTTCTCACGCCTCAGCCGTTTCTCCACGTTTCTCTTTCTTAACAATGGCTTCTTGACAGACAGCCTTCCACTGAGACCTGATGATGCCTCAGTGAACAGTAGATGGATCAACTAAAAGTCCAGATGCATCTCTGAGGTCCTGTGTCAGGCCCTTGCTGGATTTTTCTTTTCCTTTTCTTAAGGACACGACTTTCAGATACTGTTCTGTTGTAGGTAGTTTTTTTTAGGCCTGCTACTCCTTTTGTCCTCTACTTGTCCAGTATCCTCAAATCTTTTAAGGACACACTGCACACTATGCCAAGATATGCCAGGTTTTCAACTAAAAGCTATTTTGAGAATCACCTTGTTGACACAGAAATGCTTTTTTATGTCTGCTAATTTTTATATATACATTTTTTCCCAACAGGCTGCTAATTCCTCTTTAAGAGTCTCCACAGCAGATCATCTGCCTCCATCTCAACCTGTCCTCCTCTGTCACACCAGCCCTCTGCATGTCCTCCTTCTCTATATCCACAAACCTCCTCTGTGATTTTCCTCTTTTCTCCATCCTCAACTTCCTTTGTCAAGTATATCCACAATCACTCCTTTGCCCATGTCCAAACCATCTCAGCCTTGTCTCCTAACATTGTCTCCAAACTGCTCAACCTGAGCTGTCCCTCTGATGTACTCATTTCTGATTTTGTCCATCCTGATCACTCCCAGTAATCATTTTAGCCTTTTGAACTCTGCCACCTACTCCTCCTCCCGTTGTTGTGTCAGCACCACCATCTGCAAACCATACATCACAGTCGGTCTCACTACCATCTTGTAATCCTTCTCTTTCCCTTTAATTTTGACCAAAATGAGGTCAAAATTAAAGCAGCTTATTACGAATCCCAAACATAATATTGTATCTCCTAACTAGACCTTTTGTCAAACTTTAGTGTCACCTCCTGAGCTGCATAAGTCATTATTTTTCAGGTTTCATGATCATTGTGACAAATAAATGAAACTTCCTGTGTGAAACCAATGGTGAATCCCTTAAAGGAAAAACTGAATACGAGTAGAGAAACCTAATTAATGATAATTCTCCCTAATAGGGCACCGGGTGGGCTGGGTTGACTTAATGAACACTGGAATAACGTGAAGCGTATTCACATGGTTTTCACACTAACCGGATTTGAACCCTGTTGAATACTTAAAGTCGATTTTTGGGAGACCCTTTGTTACCTCTCATTGCCATCATGCAAACATCACTTCAACAGAGTTTCACACATTCAGAGTGAAGAGCAGCAGCGCTGTTTAACACTGGGACTCGTGGTGGCTCCAGACTTTGCTAAATAAGTCTCGTTCCTTCCCTCCATGCTTTTATTTGTTACCACAGCTTTTCCATAAATGAATAAACTGTCTGTGAAGCCATAAACCACACCTTTAAAAACAGCCCTGACGTGTTTTTTTTAAAACACAGCAGCCCGCTAAGTGCACGTGTGTGAGCCAGAGTCACTCAGCCAGTTAAATTTTGGCTTCTGTGCCCCGTGCCTCCTGCCCACTGCCCCACTATCTCTTGTAACGGATGTTGTTGCCACTTTGTCCCATAGGGCATGGACTACTAACAGAGTTTTTCCACTGACTGACTCCAATTGTTGGCTGAGTGCCACAGAGGGAGAGCAGGAAAGAAAAGGAAGAAGGAAAGATTGATAGAAAGAAAAGAGCGAGAGAGGAGCATGGCCCCACTCCTGGCGCCCTGAATAGACATGAGGTAGTTCCAGCATTAACAGTTTCAATGACTCAGTTTAGGACATTATGCTTTTGGGATTTTAAAATGGTTCACTGGCTCTTTTTAAGGCCGGAGATCCTCTGTCACAGTGAAGTCTTTACTTATCCTGGGAATTCACTGATAACTATCTTAGAGGTTGCTCATCTTGCTTTCATCCTGCATTAGCACTGCAGTGCTTGCTGCAGCAGTACACTTCTCCAATCAACAGGGACATCCCCCCCTTCTCCCCTACAAACCTGTGCTTACCAACCTGCTTTGTTTGGTTGTTAAGACCTAAAAGCTTTGCACGACTAAGCCAAACAACATCTCTTTGCAAGCAGCTCCACAGTGAGAGCATTTTGTGCCAAAGCGGCACAAGTGGGAAAGATCTTGCGACATTAATGGTTACATTTCTAATAAGACAGGTGGCAACACTAAAAATCAGCCATAATGAGAAGTGACAACTTTAGTGGAGAGGAACTGCCAGGATGTCCGCAAGACTAAAATAAATGAAAACTGATGGGCGTAATGTCTGTGCTGCTTTCAGTTGGTGCTCTTAACCTTCTCCTGAAGTTGTAAGACGTTTTTTTCTCTCCATCTCTTGCTGTCTCATTTACTGTAGACCCAAGAGCGAGCTATCCATCCATAGTACAATCCAAGTACCTAGAGGCATGACTGTAGGGCAAGTTCTTCAGGAATAGCGCGGCGATGTAATGGGAGCTCACTCCTCGCTCTCGTATCCACTTATTGCATTTTTTCGCCCCTTTGGCTGCCGCTGCAAGAGAGCAACACAGGGCGTGTATCTGGTGAAATCCCCAGCTTAATTTCAGAATCAACTCTCACCAGTTTTTATTTGTCAAAGCCATCCATATTTCAACAGAAACTAGCTCCCCATATTAAGCATGTTGGTGCAGAGTGCTGGCAGAAGTTCTCGTCATAATGTTGATCTTTGTTGAGAGGGAATACCCCGTCGCGTGGAAGCAAATCCGCGTGCATAGTTAATGTGGCACCTCAGTGCTGACTGGGCCTGAATGTGAACACTTTTTTCCCCTTTACTGCGCTATTACTGCAAAATGTTCTGTTACATTTATTGTTTTTCCTTCTTTTTCTTAATAGAAATACAAGTTGGTTTTACAAAAGTCTTAGATTAGGCTACTTGTGTTGAAAGGGGAAAAACTTAACACCTCCATGCTCATGGAGTCATGCACAACGTGCAGCCACAGCAGCACACGTACTCAGCTGAATGCGAACAATGCATGTGCACAAGAAAGGGAGAGGGACGGGTAGCGCAAATAAACACACGTCTACACACAGAGGTGCACGCGGGCGTGCTACAGACACACACTTCCCAGCAAAGGATGCGCACACTCAGGCGAGCACATGGATTAATAATGTACCATATTCCCTGTAGGAGGCTAGTTAGCATTTCAGGAAGATTGCACAAACACTGGGGAACTGTAATTAGGAAGTTATTGTTACAAGTTGCAACTCTCTGTCTCTCTCCCTTTCTCTCTGTCTTTCATGACACACACACACACACACACACACACACACATTGGTAAGCATATAGGCGCATGCATGAATAAAGAATGCAAATGGTAAAGGTTGGGGTAGAGTATTTCTCAGCAAAAACAACACAGAAAGATTAGATACACTATAAAAATGCAAGAATTTTTGCACAGCAATTTGCAGTTTTTGTAAATGCAGCTGAATATCAATGCTGACGCCTCTGAAATACTACCAGCAGCCTACTGTGATCATATTCTATACTGAACTGCACTTTATTTTATTAGAGTTAATCTGCTGATGTAGATTACAGTAGGAGAACGATGCCAGTAAGGCTACTGAAATTTAACAAGGAATGTTTTTGCAGTTTATGCCACAAGACATGTGCAAAATAAATCAGGGGTGTGACGTTGCCCCAGACAAAACCTGAACAGTGCATTAAAGCAACACAAAAGTTGTCTAAAAGAAGACTAACGCATTAAAAATACCCCAAACACCTGCTGCCACAAAAAAGGGGAGCGCGCAGTTTCTGTGGTCTGACGCAGCGTGAGTGACTGGAATACAGCTTGTGGTGCATACAGCATTAAAAAGGTGTGTTAAAAAAATTCAGAGTAACATCTCCTTTTGCAAATAGTCCCGCTGTCAGAGAGCGAGCAAGTGAGCCAATCAAATCTGTCTGCATAGATGCAATGAGAAAATCTTCCTCTAATGTAGCTGTAGCTCTAATGTATAGCCAATTAGCGAGTAAGGAGCTATCCTCTCACAGCTCTGAAGTGGAAGGTGAGCTTTTCATTTTGGTCTGACGAAGGCCGTCAAAGTTTGCCCAGCAGCAGCAGCAGCTGCATCCGTTTAGGGTCTCGAGTCGCGGTGTATAAAGATTCCTGAGAGCCTGTTTCATTAACCTGGTCGTTACATTTTGAAATGCTGAGACAACCCAAAGCTGACCTCATACCTCATATCCATAGCGTAAATGATGAACGAGGTGCTTAATATCTGCTGACACGTATCTCGCTGCTGCCAGTTTTCCACAACTCGACCTAATCCTGACTTACATTCCCCAGTAAAGCTCTTTGTAGCTTCTCCTTTTTCCTGTTTCTGTCCAAACATATTCCCGCTCTTCCCAAATTTACCTCTCATCTCTTCCCATCTATCTATACACATACCATAATGCACACGTCCTATGTGTGTGTGTATGTGTGTATTGAGTCAGCTAGTTTGTATGCCGGCTGCTGCCGTACCACCCCTCTCTAGAAATCAAGGCGAGATTGCTGTGTGGATGAGAGGAGGAGAAGAAGAAAGTGCAGAGAAGGGGGAGGGGAGGTGAAGAGGGTGAGGCGATAGAGACTGAAAAGAGAGATGGAGAGAGATAGCGATGCCACGGGGTGAAATGAAAAAGGCAGAGTGGAAAAAAAAACCAGCAACAAAAGGGTGGAAGAAGCGCTCAATAGACATGTTTTCCTCCCATTCTCCTCGTCCTTTTTTTCCCTTTTTCCCTCTGCCCTCTGTTCTGCAGACAGAACTGTCGCTGTAGCAGAGGTGGTTTGGAGACTGTGGCCTGGCAGAGACTTGAAAAGCTCTCTGATGCTCTGTGTCTGAGGTGCTCTTCAGGGCTAAGAGGAGAAATCTCTCCGGCTGTCCCATTAACTAGTGGAGGCTGGACCATTGAAATCGTATTACCTTCTCTGACTGAGCAGCACATCGGCTTCCTGACAAAGATCATATCTGTTGTTAAAACCCCAAGACGCCGGCAGCAGCAGAACAACACTGAGATTTCTTTTTTGATTTGTCCCTCCTCTCTTATCTTTCAGGCATCTCTTCTTTGGCGACAAATTTCTCTAGGGTTCAGGCGTCATTTGTATCCCCCTCCCATTGCTTGAAATACTCTGAGAGCAGCTTCGAAAGAGGCAATGGTGGAGAAGAATGGTGAAGATGATTCTCTCCCCAGTTGCTCAACAGGTAACTTTTACATTTGAGAGTAAGATGATGATTGAATCCCCCCAAACCAATTTTGCTCCGTTTCTAAAAATCCAACAATTTTAACACCTGGAAGCTCTTTTTCAAACCACTTCACGGCGTGCATGGCTGCTGCGAAAACAAGATGTAAAGAACGTACTCAAATAGAAACCCTGAGACACGTCTAACGACTTCTTATTTACAAGGAGCTCATTATCTTTCTGTGAAGTGTGCCCTCAACGACTATTGTTTAATTACAGCTGAGCAATATTATTAGGAGACATCGGGATAGTCAAGCTTAGGGGTTAAAGCAAAAGCAGAAGTCATCTGAAGAAAGTTTGGGCTGTTTTTTTTCTAAAAAAGAATTATAGAAATACAAGTATAAAGGGGAAGTATTCAGTGTCAGCAAGTGGGAAATATTAGCACATCCGTGTGAACTAGCTTGCTACCTAAAGCGTGCTGTGCTTAATTCTGTTTTTTTCTCCCATACTGTTATAATTGGTGGGGTTAGTCTTATTCACATCAGCACAGTCTACCAGCACAGTTGGGTCTGAATCCCCCCCCCCTGCAGACAAAGCACTAAATCGGGCACAAACAGCTAACCTCGTAACTCATCCGCCCACCGTCAACATCAGCGGCACATTGAATCCCTGATATGCGTGAATTGTGTTATCAGGTAAGCTCTTTGTTTCTTTATTTTTCCAGCTTGTGGCAGAAGATCAAAAGAAAGCACTGAATGTACTGAAGAAGCTACTTTGTATGCATTTGTGTTACAAGTGTGAAAGTGGGCATCTACAAAAAGAAAAACAGCATTTCTTATGGTTTCAGTCTGTCAAGTCACGTCAAGTCAAGTTTGTTTGTATTGTCCAATATCCTATTCAGTGTCTCAGCGGGCTTTACAGGCTCACAGCAACAACAGCTCAGATCCAGAGCTTTCGAAGAGACAAGGAAATAAAAAAAGCAACAAAAAAACCCCCCCCAAAAACTGTGAGCACACGAAAAATGGAAACTGCTTGAGAGGAAATTCGAAAATATATTCTCTCCTCTCTGCTGGGAGTATCGAATAACCTCAGATGTGTCGATGATGGAGCAAGACATGGTCTGTAACTCCAATGTTTCCACTAGCCTTTAGGTTTGTATAAACTTGTGGAGTAGTTTGTGTAGCGTTCTCAAGCAGTGGGGAGGACGAGCACAGGACTGAGTGAAAAAGCTATATGAAATACACAAGTGTTGGATGTTTTCAAAACCACAGAGACCAAATTCAAGCTAATACTGGATGTTTTCACCATTCGAAGTGGAATCCTTGTGTTTTTATCAAAACATCTTAAAAATATATAAAGTAGGATAGTTAAAATAATTCAGCAATGCATAACTTGTGAGGTTTTTGAGAAAGGTATAGCTGAAGAAGTCAAACATCAAAAAAGACACATAAATGTACATTCACTGGCCACTTGATTAGGTTCAGCTTACTCTTACCGCGTTGAACCTCTTTTGTCTTCAGGCATATATTTAACAAGGTTTTGGAAACATTGCTCAGAGATTTTGGTCCATATTGGTAAAAAAAATAGTAAAATGGCCTGTATTTATATAGCGCTTTACTAGTCCCTAAGGACCCCAAAGCGCTTCACACATCCAGTCATCCACCCATTCACACACTGGTGATGGCAAGCTACATTGTAGCCACAGCCACGCTGGGGCGCACTGACAGAGGCGAGGCTGCCGGACACTGGCGCCACCGGGCCATCTGACCACCACCAGTAGGCAATGGGTGAAGCGTCTTGCCCAAGGACACAACGACCGGGGCTCGAACCAGCAACCTTCCGATTACAAGGCGAACTCCCAACTCTTGAGCCACAATCGCCCGATATTGAGATGTTGGCATCATTTGTTGGTCACACATCCATGATGTGAATCTCCCGCTCCATCACATCCCAAAGAAGCTCTGCTGGATTAAGATTTGGTGACTGTGGAGACCACCTGAGTACAGGAAACTTAATGTCATGTTTAAGAAACCAGTCTGAGATGATCTGAACTTTGTGACATGGTGTGATATCCTGGTGGAAGCAGCGATCAGAAGATGGGCGCACTGTAGTCATAAAGGGATGGACATGGTCAGGAACATTACTCAGGTAGGCTGTGGTTTTTAAATGATGTCTTGCACTGAGGAAATATCCCCAGCACCATTACAACGCCAGCCTGAAATACTGATGGTTTTGATTTTTGAAACCAAATTCTAATACTACCATCACAACTTCAGCAGAAACTGAGACATCACATCAGGTTTTTCCGATCTTCTATTATCCACCTTTGGTCTCAATTTCCTGTTCTTAGTTGTCAGGAGAGGAATCCAGTGTGGTCTTCTGCTGTAGCACAACACAAGGAGGTCTGACATCGTACATTCGGTAACGAGTGGTTATTTGAACTACTTTTGCCTTCATATCAGTTCAAAAAAGCCTGGCCATTCTTCTCTGACATCAACAAGACATTTTCTCTCAGAGAACTGCTGCTCACTGGATAGTTTCTCTTCTTTTGAACCACACTCTGTAAACCCTGCTAATGGTTTTTGTGGGAAAATCCCAGTAGTCCAGCCTGTTAGCCTGCCTGCAGTTGGTGTAGGCAGGCTAAAAAAAAAAGCTAAAGCTGCAACCTACTTTCACCCAAGGTCCTCTTTTTTCATGTGGCAATTTAATCGTACCATGTCATGTCAATTGTCACTGGTGCATACTGTGCTTTGTGCAGGGGTCTCTTTAGCCAAGACATCATTAAAGTTAAATGGATCAATAAAATGAATGACTATTTCCTTAATCAGATCCACTATGACAGTCTTGGATGGCTGAAACAACTTCTCAGTTTTCAGCCACTGTGTTAAATAGTTTATGGTTATGATTTGTACTTTTTCAAGTTAATTAGTAATACCCATATGGCTGGCAGGGAAGCCAGCTTGATAAGTGGGTGTCCAATTTAAGTGTCTGTTTTGGTAAATTTGTGAAACACGGCCACAAGTGAACTTCAACCAGAAACAAAAGAAAACTAGTTTTTTGAAATAAACAGTTTTGGGGCATTTGATTCATGAATAATGCGTAAACACAGTGTGTACGTGTAAAAGTAACGCAAGCCCCACTATTTGTTGTTTCTGAATTTATTAGTGTAACTGGATGCCATACTATTTGATGGTAAGGCTGCTGTTCACAGCTGCAGGTTTTTAGGAGTCCTGTGATCAAACATGTTTTTGCTTAATTGATCCCGTGTTTCCATGACTTGTCCTTGTTCCTGTTTTCGATTTTTAAAAATCTTCTTTGTTCAATTTAGCACTCCAGCTATTTACAAGCTTTGTGAAATCATCCAGTTGGCAATCACAGCAGAGGCTAAACCATACAAACCCTTTGTCAATTAGCGCGCTGCAACACCGGGGGGAAATACCAGCGCTTGGCAGGCAAATGTGTGTTTGGTGTGTGTGCGTGTGTTTATTAATGTGTCTGTTTTGTGTGAATTACTAAGTGACTGAGTGAACGAGTGGGCAGACTAAGTGTTTGAAGGCGGTCAGAGGTCGTGTGTGTATGTTTATGTCAATTTGGGTGGATAGTACACATGCATATGTGTGTGTAGGCAGCAAATGCTGCTGGAAAATGCGTGTGTGTTTCCGAGTGTGCGCCGAGACAAACTAAATATCACTCCTTGTATAATCCTTTAATTTCCCAGAGCGTTGTGCATTTTATCCAGTTTTTGTAGCCAGCTTGAAGACACACAGAAGTGTGCTGAGAGTCTGTGTGAGGGAGTGTGCGTGTACGTGTGTGTGTACGCCTGCGTGTGTGCGCGTGCACTATGTGTCGGACAGCCGAACCAAAGAAAAGAAAGAGAAACATGAGCACGGCGTTGATATCTGTCAGCTGCTGGCAGTTTATACTGCATGTTGGAAGTGTGACATGCTCGGTATTGAGGCATATGCAGGGTGTTAAATGTGTGAGTGAAGGCAGTGTAAGGTGTATATGATTTATAATGGCTGTCTGCGCTCAGCCTATGATTTTCTCCTTCTGTCTGTCGCTTTTTCTGTTTCCCGGGCATTGTGTTGTGATGTGACATGTTGTCTTCTAGCTTCTGCAGATTGGTTTTGTTTGAGGAGCCTTGCACAAAATGTTAAGAGTCGGCTCTTTATTTCAGCTCGTCTCGGGCGGTAAAAACATGCTGTTCAGAGTCATGAGTGCTAAAAAGGGAGCTGTCCGGTCTCGGGCTACAACTGATGATTGTTTTTCTTTAGAGTGAATCTTCCAATTATTTTCAATTAATGTTTATGAAACCACAAACAAGGACTTTAAAAAAGTTCATCACCTTTTTTTTCCCAAAGGGACCAACAAAAAGAAGTAATTCTTCCACTGGAGAAGCTCGAATCAGGAGTGTATGTTTGTTAATAAAGAATGACGTGATTAACTTGTCATTGACCCACTAATGGATTAAATAACTGTATAACTAATTTGAGATTTTTGGGTTACGTTACTGTGCAAAAGTCTTGAGCCAACCCACATATCTTTATATTGTGCTTACTTTTATATTATACTTAATTTTCAACGTTTTGCTTTGGTACCTGGCTGCTTATTTAATCATTTGCAGCTCAATCCTTTTCATTTTTTCATTTTTTCAGAGAAATGTTTTTTAGTTTAACTGTTTAACACTGATCTATGGCTCATTCAAGAATAAGGAAAGCACCTAACTCAAGAGATAAACCAGACGACTGAGCAAAGAACCAATTTTATTACTAGCAGCCTGTCACAAAAACTAACTTTTAGCATTGCTTTAGCTGATGCTATGAAAAATGTCAAAGATGCCCCAGATTAACAGGCATAAAATAGTATTAATAGACCAATGAGGTGATTTTCAAAGAGCTATTAGCTGAAACTGGACAAGTAGAGGACAAATGAAGAAGGCCTTAAAAATTGTTGTCAGCAGATTAAATCTTTAAAGTCATGTCCTTAAGGAAGAGAAAAAAAATCCAGCAAATATCTGACACA